TTGTGCAAAGTCTTTTTGACTTTACAATATTTATTTATATTTAATTTCTCGCAAGATTTAAGCTTATATCCCCCTGTGCACAATTCGCATGTCGTTTGTTTGTATTGTTCAGATGTGAACGTTTGATTTTTGAAGAAGCTTCTATTTGAATTGTTGTTGCTACTGGCTTGGGATCTTTGGAAGCTTCTATTACGGTCATGGGAAATACCTTTTGGTTTAATTATCTTTTTATCAACTCTTTCTGCGATTTCATACTGGGTAGTTAGGAAATCTTGCATTTGCTGCCATGTGGGGCATTTTTTTCTTGATAGAGATTGTTCCCCTAGCAATAACGATTTTTCTGATAATGCGGCGGTGCATATATTTATCAGAATTGGGTCCCAATTATCTGTGGGAACATTTTGTGTCGCTAAAACTGACAAACAGTTGGAAACAGTGGATTGAAGTTTCATATATTCTTCACTTGTTTCCTTTTGAATTTTGGGCAAGTTCATTAATATCGTTATTTGCTTCTCTACCAGTATTCGTTCGTTTTCGTACCTTCATCTCAGAGCTTCCCAAGCCAAATGGAAATTGTCGTCATTTAATGCGAACTGTTTTACTATGACGCCTGCTTGACCTTTTGTTTTGTATCTGAGGTGATACGACTTTTGAGCATTTGATAATTTCGGATGGTTTATGTAAACAACTGTGAACATGTCCCGGAAGGACGGTCATTGTTCATAACCACCATGGAAAATTTCAGTGTCACAACCGGGCACCTTGAGGTGGATACCCGAAATTGCCCTTTGATTTTGAATTTGTGGCAGCTCTACTCTCGGAGGTGGAGCAGGTGCAACTACTTTAATTAATTTTAGCTGATCTGCGATCATAATTTTTGTGTCTTCATACTGGTCTAATCTGGTAGATCTGAATCGTCAGTATCTACAATTGCGTCATATGCAGCTTGGAGTCGTGTCCAAAAATTTTCAATCGTTTGGCTTTTTATTTCCAGCGCCGATTCAGAATTGTCTTGAATCGGCGAAGAAGAAAATCGAGTGCAGTATTTTATTAGACAGTCACTCTCAGAAATGAATTTGGAGTATGATATGTCTTTCCCCCTCTTTTKTTTCGTAGCACCTTGCTTCGAGCGTGTAGCTTCTGCAGGTGTACATGGACTTTTTTCGTCAGAAGTCATCTTTGGGACTTTTATTAACTGACTTGGTTTAGAGCCTTTTGAGTCAGAGCTCATTTGAAAAATGTGACGAACAAAAAAAACAAAATCTTCAATACTTGATTGGTATTATAAAGTTTCGTATATGTATGTATTTATATGCGATATGTCTAAAAGAAAACTCTTTCGTAAGTAATAGTTTCAAAGAAAATCGATAAAATATTGAATTTAATTTCACCACAGCTTTCGTATATATGTATGTATGTTCAGACGAGAACTCTTTTATGTGAATAAGTGTTTTGAATTAAATTAATAAACCGAAAACGCTTTTAATTGCCGCGTATAATCGTGTTTATGTGTAACCGAAAACTCCTTATGTTAAATAAGAGTTTTTTTTTTTTTACTTCGAATTGTTTAATTTAATGGTATTCAATTTAATTTTATTTAATTATTTGTTATTAATCCGCAAAAGCAAATAATTTTGTGTATATGTACGTATATGTATATATTTATGTACCTTTTATTTTGTTATGTGCAAATGAGAGCGCGTTTTAGAGATCACTGCACTTTGTACATATGCATATATGTACATATGTATTACGCTTTATTATGTTTTACACAATCCTGCTTGTTTTTGTTGATCAAAAACCAAGGGGTATTGTGGGATATGTGCCAATGTGGTCTTTGAATATGTTGTATACGCAATCCTGCTTATTTTTGTTGATGAAAAAGCAAGGGGTGTTGCGGGATATATGCCAATGTGGTATTTGAAGTAATATGCGTATTTACACATGTGACGATCCACGATCGTACAAATTTTTGATTATATTATACTAAATTTTCCGCCGCTTAAAACCTTACTGATGTTGCGATCAGTACTAGTTTTTTTTTTTTAAATGGAAAAATTGTTATTTTATTTAAAAAATTGTATCCGCGTATGTATGTACTTGTACAATAAAGAAAATTAAGAGACACTTTATTATTGAGTTATGTATGTATGTGCATGTACATATATAAGGAAATGTATAGTGTTTACTTCTAAGTTGTTACACTGTTGTATGTATAAAAGAGTAATTTTCACTCTTTGCACGGAATATATAAATATAAGTGAGATATATGCATGTATATGATATATATAAAAGTTTACTTACACATATGTAGGTATGTTTTTAAGTTAAAATATTTTGTCTCTGCTTATGATTAGCCTTAGCTTATTTTAAGCAGTCCTGCTTATACTTGATTAAGTATAAGGGGTACYGCTGGAAATTGGTGCAAGTAAATACTTGAAAGATTTTTTGTTGTAGAAATAATTTTATGTTTTCACACAACTGTAAGCATTTAGCGGCAATCAGTTATTTATTATACGTATTACCAAACTGTTTTGTTTCTTAGCGGTATTTCGGTTTTTACCGGGAAATAACCGAATACTGAAACAGTTTGGCAAAATTTTTTTTTTTTTTGTATTCTAATGGATGGTTACAAACGCAAATTCATCTGTTTTAAAATTTTGGCCTCTTTTTTTGTTATTAAAAAACCATACATATGTATATATAATATAAATAATAATAGGAACGATACTAACAACTCACTTGTATTTCCGCCAGGGGTTTTGGTGACAATTTGTGTGTATGTAAGTATGTATGTGCGTGGTCTTCAGTGTATGTGGACTCTCCTCCCGGATCTTTTGTTGAGGTGAGTATGTAAATTTTTGTTGTTCGAACCGGCTTCGTGCCCGCTATGTCATTTATTTCTGTATTTCGCGCCCGCTCTTTTTATTATATATTTTTGTAAGTTGCACCTTTTAGCTTTTTCTATTTCTTTTTTGGAGGGCAAATGTTGCCTAGTATTCGCAATTCTGTATGTATGTATGTGAAAGTTGCCACTGCACTGCACTTTTATGTGGTCACTGCACTGTTGATTTTTCACTTTTTTCCTGTTTTAACTGCACTTTCTTGTCACAGCACAATTTGTTTTTAATTTTGCTTAGATTTTTGATTTATCTAAGATTGTTCACTTCACTATTCACTTATGTGTCACTCGGCACATTTTTTTTTGTTTTTTTCGCAAAATTTTATTTATTATTATTTATTTTTCCATAGTACCTCTCACTATGGCTCGAAAGACCAATGTTTATCTAGTACCCTTTTGGACACTTACCTCGGAACTTAACACCTTTTTTTTGTTAACCGGCAAAAGTTGAAAATAAAACGACACAAATCGATTTGGGGTTTCGCTTTATTCACAATATATGTATTTATTATGCGGAATACAATGCGGAGGTAAAGATGATGCTGCGACGGACGTTTGCTCGGGGCGAGATCGATGCAAAAAAGAGGGAGATCGTCCTCTGGAGCAGTCGCTTTTGATGATTTGATAGTGTAGAGTTTTGGTGTGATGTCAGCATGTGTGGTATATTCGTGTGTAGTAGTATGTGGTGTCTTCATGTGGAATGTCTGCATGTGTGGTGTCTTCATTTGTGGATCACGTTAGTGTGGTGTGTTGTCGTGTGGTTGTTCAGTGTCGGATGTATAGAGGGAAGAGCTAACTCATCTAGCCATTCGTCCACAAAATTCAGGCTCGTTATTTTATAACTATAAAAAGTTTTATAGTATAGTTTTAATGGCATCCTGCCACGCTAGGTATACGTTCACCTCTGCCAGCATTGGTAGCTGGCGGACAAAGTGACGGAGGTATTTTAAAAGATTTGCAATATTTCAAAATTTACTTATTTTTATTTTATTTCAAGGTGTCTTTCATCAAACTAAATTTGGTCAAGCACTCTTGGAAAACAAATTGCCACTACCACCAAGAGCTCCATTATGGAATGAATCCTCAACAGATTTTGCCCTTTTTTTTTGTGGCCGACGCAGCGTTCTCATTGAAGGAAACTTAATGCGACCTTACCCCGGTGCACAACTGCCACGAAACAAAGCAATTTTCAATTACCGGTTATCCCGAGCTCGTAGAGTAATCGAAAATAGCTTTGGTATTTTAACTGCTCGATGGCGTGTTCTACGAAAGGTAATAGACTTTAGCCCAAAGAACTGCGAAACAATTGTGTTAACCTGCTTGGTTCTTCACAATTTTTTAATGTTGAATGATCATGATCGTTGGTATTGTCCAGATACATTTGTAGACACAGACACCGCAGACCATGGAATATTGGAGGGAGAATGGCGTGAAGATTTAGAGAGTGTTGGAGGTGCATTAYATTCAATAAGTACAACTCGACGCAATGCATCTAGTTTCGCATTCCGTGTAAGGGATTTTTTGGCAGATTATTTTATAAATCAGGTAGCGGTTTCATTTCAAGAAGATCGTATTTAGTGTRTAGCAATGTTTGTGTATTTTATGCATTTGAAATATATATGTACATATTTTTATGTATAAAATTGTAATCTAAGTACCTTTATACTATACTTTTTGTTACGTTAACTTTTTTGTGATATTTTATTAAACCATGGATATATCTATAAGTATTGTTTTATTTACTGAAAAAGATGGTAATTATCTGTATTAGGAAGATTACACAGGCATATGGCAAATGAATTCTGTAAAGTAATGCTTCTAACGAAAACATATATATTTTATTTACCGACAATAAATCATGATTATGACGGTATGTAATTAGTAAATAAGGCATAGGCCGTATAATCACGCTATCATTCTTTAAAAATATTTGGTGAATGTTTTTTGCAACTACACAATGACAACAACCTTCCTATCATTAATCACTACCAACATAACCACATAGCACACAATAAATAAAAGACATACAAAATTAAAGAGTTATAAAAACAAATTATTTTATTTTTTCAAAAACATTCTTAAAACCCTTTGAACATTCTTAAAACTATTTTTAAAAAAATTAATGTTTTAAAAATTTTAAAACTATTTTGAAAAATTAGGTACATTGTTGTTTCTTATGTCTAGGTAACAAGCGTTTTAAACATTTTTACATATTAATTCAATATATGTATAAAACAACAAACAAATGATTTAAAAATAAAAAAAAATTATTCGGGTTCCGATTTAATAGCAAATAACGAATTTGTTAAGACTTGTATTGTTTTCATTTGCTTTACCTCGCTCATACCGTTCATGATAGAGGTCAGCATAACACCAAACGACCTCACCGCCTCGCTGCAATTGCTCCTCTCTGCACACATGCTTTTGTATAGCTCGBACGCTTCTTTGAAACAGCTGTCGTCGTCGCTGTTTGTTTTCTTGACTCTTTTCCGGATTGAAGTTGAAGACGACAACTCCGAAGGCGACGATAAAATAGTCGGAGAACTTTCAAAACTAAATGGCTCCAACAGCTCCTGCGAATACATATCTTCTAAAATGTTTGTGGTGCAGCGATTTCTGTAAAAGGGAAATAAATATTTAATACATATAAAATATTAAAAAAAAGATTAACTTACGGTCTGGGCTGTATATATAGTTTTAAAAAGCTCATATTATCGAACAATGGCCAGGTTTCGGTGTTACTCGCCCCACTTCCTGATGGYGACTCCATTTTCCTTACTTCCCTACTGAATCTCTCCCTTAGAGTCAGCCACCTCTTCGAACATTGCTCATCTGTAAAATAAACCCAACATAAACTATTAAATTCTACCTATATATATACATATATACAAAATATATTAAAATCTAATAAATAATAATAACAATTACTTACCAGTAGCACCTAGCTCCTTTGCCACGCTTACCCACGCAGCCTTCTTCTTGCTCGGCACCCGGTAGCCTACGCAGGCCTTGTTATACAAAATTTCACGCGCACGCACTTCTTCTATTAATTTTTCATCATTCATTGTGATTATTTCGATTATTTATTTCTGGCAAATTAAATTTAGAAAAAAAGAGACGATTAAAGTGAAATGATGAAAATGAAATGAAGCGTGCTATGTAAAAAACCGAGGGAAAGAACCGAGCTGACACTCTCTGAAATGTCAAAATAAAGGGGGAGAGCAAAGATGCCACTCTCTGAAATGTCAACGTAACTTGAAATTCTAAATTCAACAGACTTTCAAGTCAAGTCAAGCGTTCGGTAATCAAATACATGCAAGGCTCATTAAACAGGCCTTTTATGTGACAGTTCTCAAGTCTGGCTAGGTCAAGTCAAGCATGCATAACTGGAGCTTTAGATTCCACAACATACAATTGTGTTTTCAAAATGTTTTCAATGTCGGTCCGAACATAGTATAAAATGTATGCTATAATTATCATAGTCCGAAAATATAAAACATATACATTTTTTTCATCCATAAAAAACATTGAGGTACATCACGTCGAACATATAAGTTTGGCTGAGTTCCAAGTTGCATGTTGCTTTGCATTAGTATGAAGTATATAATTCCTTAAAATCAAACTGCTTACGATATGCAAAGTATCGAGTACCGATACATTTTTATGCGTATTAGATGCGCATGCATTTAGCATAGGGCGTATCTCTATTTTTTGTGATGCTCAAATTTTTTTTCCATTGAACAATCCAAGCAATGCCGCTTTTTGCGTTTTCGTTCTCTTGTTTTTCTAATGATTTTTAATGATTATCGAGGAGTTGTTGCGGCCACTTTCACATAAATCCAAAAAATTGTTAATAAATAAATTTATATTCACATTTGCCGCCATAGCTGTTAGTTGTTTTGAAAACAATTGTCACAAAATGTCAAAGTTGATACAAAGCAAATTGAAACAAAGCAGTAGGATTGCATTGTTGATATTGTACAAATTCCGTATGGGTATCCCAACAGTGCAAAGCAACATGCGACTTGGAACTCAGCCTTTGTTACATTTAAGACTTCGCTCATTTGCCAATTGAATACGGAGTCTCCACACGCAATACGCAGTCACACAGTTAGCATACAATCAATTTTTGAATATCAAAATACCCCGTCAGAGAACGTGTATTACAGAGAAGGTTCATGGTGTGCCGATTGTCAAAACGTTCTTCTTTTTGAAGGGCTGAGTTTTCTGTTAGTGGATTTCACCACAAAAAATTATTAGCGGATTTCGCCAATATTTAACAGAATTGAGCATTTTCATTGTTAAATGAGAAAAATTATGCTAATTTCAATGCTTACAAATGTACGCTTACAGATTCGCGTATTTACAATGCGCAAACGACTATGGATATCGTTTATAGATATTATGAAAGATATATTTGATTTCAAAGCTCATAAGCATACATGTACATATGTGCAGTTTGACCTATTTAATGATGAACTCCATTGAATATGTTGAAATGTATTATATAATAAAATCATATTTGTATTATTGCCTAAATATTATTATTAATATAGGTTTGTTAGGTTATTATATAGTGTAGGTTTATATACACATGTATGTATTTATTTGCTTTGAGCATTAAAGGTTTTGATAACGTTTTAAAAGACCATGCGGTCGCATAGATTCACATAAGCATGTAAAAAGATTTAAAAAACCATACGCATAATTTTCACATATTATTCATATGTATGTAATTTTGTGAACGTAAAGAAATTTGAAAGAATCATTCGCATAATGTTTGTAAATTTGTCTACACACAACATTGTGTGTAAATATTATACACCCATTGTTTCATACAAAAACTCCGTTGTCACGAATAACCAATGGCCGAACCTTACGATTTGTCAAAAAGTCAATGTGTCGAAGGACTGACGCCCCGACAAAGCTTCACAACATTATGTTGTTGGTAGAAAGTCGGAGCTGTGCCGAAAAAAATAAACAAAAAGCCGTCATTGTCGCCGCTTGCCTTACCGCTGCACAGCTTCGCCTACAAACCAGCGTAAATATATATGTTGGTGTGTGAGCTTGCATACATATCGACGCAGATTTTTGCGAGCCACGTAAAAATATTTCAGAATTACAAAATATTTTTTACATTCCTTGACAAATACAGTCAATCCCGATTGTGTGCCACAATTAAAGATAAAGATATTTGTAGTAAGTTAAAAATACAAATATAATTTGGTACGTCTGCGGAAATTTAAACGAGTCGTACTTAAAACATTTGTTTAAATGTATTAAAAACAAAAAGCTTGAGACGCAGCAAGATACAGGCAGTTAAGAGGGATTGGCTTTTAATCGAAGTCCTACTTAACCGGAATTGACTGTACACAAAAATCAAAAGAATATTGAATATTGTCTTCGATACATTTCTTGACTTAATAATCGACAAATAAACTATGTTGTGAATTTTATTATAATATATTTAAATATACTTATATTTACGGGGTTGTCACTTTTTCCTTCTCATACGTTTCAGAAATCTATTCAATTTATGATTTTTAGCTTTTGATATCGTCGGAAAAGACGCTAGTATGCAAGGCATGCTCGGGGAGATGTAATGGCGTCTGCTTTTATGAATGAATCGAATATGCTTGAAAGTAAGTTTGCATCCATGAATGAAAAATTTGTTGTTGTGTATTTTACTATAAATTTTGAAGTTGGCCATATTGATTTATGATGCTATTTGAGACGATTGTTGTTTTTGTAGAACAATATTTCAAATTTTTGCGAGTGACATATTTACATGTGAACGCATATACTACATGTAAATATGTATGTAGTGTGTGCATTGTTTTCGTGGGAATGACATACCAATATATTTACATGTGTACGCATATAAGTATATCTGATGATGTTTTAGACGGTTGTTGTTTTTGTAGAACAATATTTGTAGTTTTTGCGGGAAGATATATGATATATATACATATGTAGGTTTGTGTGTGCATTATTCGTGTGGGAATGTCATAGGCATGTATGCACATATATGTAGAACAGCGCGCACATATTATATTACTGATAAATGATAATATCTTGATTTGAATTTGAATTGTATTTACATACATACGTACATATCTGCAGGATAGATGTGTATGAAGGCACAATTCAGATTTCTTTGGCGCCGCGATTTGAAGGTACCGTTGGAAAGAGGACGTTCTCCTGATCAAAAAATATATAGGGTTATAGGTACCGCAAAAGCTTAGTTTAGGAGATATTCGACCTCAAAGTTCAAAAATTCGCAAAATTCGGACATATCAAGTGGCTATTTCACCACTTTAAACACACTTTATTCACATTTTTCACTTTAAATT